TCTCACTTGTTCACACTTCTCCCAGAACAAATAGGACAGTGGCCCCTGAAAAGCCATCTGGAAGGTTCTAGGCAATGTCATGCATTTGTCTTCACCCCACTTAAGAAGTACCCATTTTCTGCAAACGCCTTCTTTTGCTCTGGAAGACTCTTTTAGACTAAATTAATTTAAACACCCACAAAAACACGCAGTCATACACCTTGACGTGGTGTGGTAGAGCGAGTGCCAGTTTGAATCTTCGTGTGATTTGCATGTGTGAATGTGTACAGCTCGCCGTCTGGATCCATGCATTTCACATTCATAGGTTCGGCCTACTGCAGATGGAAAACTTTTTTTTAAAAAGTTCCTCTAGTGCCAGGGATTTAGCTCAGTGGTTCCACTGCCTGCCTTGAAGCGCAGGGTCCTGAGTTCGATCCTCAGTACCAAAAAAAAAGAAAAGAAAAAAAGTTCCTCTAGGAACTGAGCTTGGTAGCACACACCTGTAATCCCAGCACTCTGGGGACTGAGGTGGAAGGACCAGGAGTTTAAACTGAGCCTGGTCAATCGAGTGGAAGGAAAAAAAAAAAGCTTTTAACAGTTGCTTCTATCCTGAACATGCAGACTTTTACCTTTGTTAGTAACCTTAAACGACACATTATAACAACTATTCACATTGTATGAGGGATTATAAGTAATCTAGAGACCATTTAAAGTGTATGAGAGGATATGTGTAGGTCATATGCAAATCCTACAGCAATTTTCGCTAAGGAACTGAGTGTCTGAGGATAGGCGCTTCCTCAGGGGTGCCCAAAGCCATCCCCTGCAGGTACCAAAGGAGGTCTGTATACTCTCAAAGGAAACACTAGGAAGACAGACTATAAATCAATAGAGATTATTATCGGTGAGGGGATAAGGAATGAGGCGAGAGCACAAGATTGGAAGTGTGCATTACACAAATTAAAGGGAAGACTGTGAGGGTTATAAAGTGTGTCGTGATGTGAGGTAACTCCCACTGCAGAGGGAAATCATCAATGCCTCTTTAGTGTTTGCCATACTTAGTAGCATGCAAGCCATGACTACGTGAGCCTTCTAGGATTCTTAAGCTTTACAGCCACCCTGCTTTGTACTTTTCTTCTTCTCTCGTTTGTTTGAATACTCAAGAAGAGAATGCGTATGAGTAGAGACGTATGTTGGCCTTTGGAAATAGCTGCAATGAGAGCTCCCACTGGGGCCATTTTGGGAAGGGTGGAGGAGCAAGAGGATCTCCTCAGGATGGAGCGAGTGGGAGCGTGGCTTTAGGAGGAAATGGAAAGGGGATGACTTCCTGGGGTTTGTTACGAAGACGGGAAGGAAAGCATGATAGGAGGGCATTTTCCCAAATCCATCTTTCCCTTCTTCCTTTTAAGTGGCTTTAGGAGGAAATGGAAAGGGGATGACTTCCTGGGGTTTGTTACAAGACGGGAAGGAAAGCATGATAGGAGGGCATTTTCCCAAATCCATCTTTCCCTTCTTCCTTTTTCATGATCATCAGGGAAAATCGGGGAGCAGGTATCACTCTGCGACTGTCTCAGAGTGGCTTAGAAATCCTAGGTTTGCATGCTTCTCTTGTCTCACTCAGGAAGCAGCTCTCAAACTCCTTCGCCTTCTAATCAATGCCTCATTGTCTGTGGAGCGGAGGAAGTTCCTTAAGATTTTGTAGTCCAGACCAGACCTGTAGTATCTGTTGCCTGTTTTAAGAAGGAGCCAGTGCTCCTTTTCTTCCCGACATTTCAATGCTTAATGGATGTCAACTGCTTCCAAGCATTCTGCCACCTGCCTCCCTGGGTGACTCTGGATAAAAGCCTACACCTTAGACTTCACACAGGTCCGTGCCTTGTGGGAAACAGCAGTGACAGGATGAATGAGCAGTTTTAGCAAGTGTAACCGGTAGTTTTTCGAATGTAGTTTCCAGCATGTGCTGCACTGTGAACTTTTTTTTCTTCCGTTGTATGTGCTCTTGTGCCTTCTGCCCTGGCAGCTTTTGCACTGCAGGGCACACTGGTCTTCAAATGGACGGACTTCTCCTGGTGCAGGTGAGGGGTGTGGCCTACATCAGTCAGGTAGCTGCTGTTAGATTCTGGCCAATAGTGACAGAAAGGAAATTTACTGCAAGGATGTTTGAAGAATCTGTAAGAAGGTATTGAGAAGCAGGCATCAAAAACAGGGAGAGGGGCTGGGGATTTGGCTCAGTGGTTCCGCTGCCTGCCTTGCAAGCGCAAGGACCTGAGTTCGATCCCTGGTACCAAAACAACAACAACAAACAAACAAACAATAAAACAACAACAACAACAGGGAGAGGAGGCAGCAGACATGATGTGTCCACCGCCATTGCTGACCATGGTCACCATCCTTGGTGAGTGACCCTAATGCTAGACTGCCTCAGCCACCACTGCAGCCCAGTGCCACTGTTCTGTGACTTTGCAGAATCCACAGTCCTAGGTGGTGATGTCCTAGAACCTATGAGGTCTCATTGGCGGCCAGGGAGAAGAGTGAGGAGTTTTGCACTGCGCATGGGCTGGCTGACAGGCAGAAATCACATATACAAGGTGACATTGTCACATGAAGTCGCTGTTGACATCCTGATGCTGGCAGAATGCCCTGTCATGGTGGGCGATTCCTCAAAATTAGGAAGGGGATTTAGATCTGGAACAGCAAAGAGAAGAATAAGAGAATGTCCACTGTCACGCCACAGACTTGGGCAGTCCTTGCAAGCCAGAGGAGTTTCCTCATCTAAGCCCTCTTACTGTCCTCCTTCCACTCTGCAGGTGGGTTGAGCCTGCCAGGTCCCGGCATGCCTCAGGACCTGAGCAGGTGCGTTTGCTCCCTTTGGGCAGCTGGCGTCCTGCCATCCATTACTCAACTCCATCCCTTGTTGTCTTAACATCTGGCCCCCATCCCCAGGGCTTCTCCTGGCTGCACTTCTAGGAGTCAGATTTCCTTTCACGAAACTGCAGGGTGCCAGCGAAGCCAATCAGATCCTGAGACGTGGAGAGAAAGGACTTTTTATTTTTCTCCCTTCCTGATTCATCTCTTTGAGGGTCTTTTCCCCTTCTCTGGGTGTGAAAAATGTTCAGATGAAGGAGACAGACTCAGATTTCTCAGCTGTGGACTTGGGCGAGTGATTTGCCTTCTCCAGCCTCAGGGTCAGTAGGGACCTGGGATCGGCAGTCTTTGAGTTGTGGAGCCACAGTGATCAGGATTCGAACTCTGTCTGTTTTTCCAGGTCTGTTTCTTGAGTCCTGGGCTCCCTGATTCTAGTCTGTATTCTTTCTATCAGTTTTGTTCACTTTAAAATCGTAATATGGGAGCTGTAATAAAAAAGGAAATTATCCATTTGTTGCTTAACCAGCAGCCCTCTCACTATATATCGTGCATGCATTGCCCTAAATCATTCCTTCTGAGGAGCTGGACTTTTCTGGGGTCGCAGAAGGACAGTAGAGGGGCCGGACTTCCAGCATCTGACCCTTACCTTACAGCTTGGGCATCAAATATCCTTATTATTTTCTCGGTAAAAACACAGGCAATCCAGGTTACACTATGTTCCTTCCTGGCAACATGGGCTGCAACCCAGAACCATATCTGTGCTCCTGGTTTTACCTAGAAGGAGGAAAAAGGCTGTACAAAGCGACCTTTTGTTTAACTTATATACCGGAGGACCCTCTTGCAGGTTTTTCTTCTCGGTCTCCCCAAGTTGCTTTGTTTCTTCTGGTTTTTATTTTTACAAAGGCAGCCTCTGGAACAGACACCACTTACTCACAACTTGCCCTGTGCTGGGCCTGTGCTAGGTACCGGCTGTAGGTTATCTCCCGGAACCCTCTCTAAAAATATGGGAGGGAGGACTGGCACCTCAGTGTTTCCCATTTTGCTTTAAACCAATTTCCCTTTTTCTACTCTACCAAAAGAGGGAGTAATTAGTTGTTATCTTTCAGATATTAAGTTCCTTCCTTCTTTTCTCTTCTCTTCCTTAAAAAAATTATGCAAATTCTCCAGGTGACTCATCTTACCCATCGAGAAGCATTGTACAGAAACTACCATAATGAGAGTAATAACTGAAGGAGTCCAGTGCTTGGTTCCCTCCCTCCCTCCCTCCCTTCCTTCCTCCCTTCCTTCCTTTCCTTCTTTCCTTCCTTTCCTGTTGGTAAGAGGAATCCTTCAGCCTATAGAAGGGGGAAGAAATGATTAGAATTGTTCCTTAAGAGCTTCAAAGAGTGATGAATGCCTTAATCCCAGAACTTGGAAGGCTAAGGCAGGGAGGACTCTGAGTTAGAGGCCAGCCTGGGCCTGTCTCAAAAACACAAAAAGAAGCAGGCTGGAGATTTAGCTCAGTGGTTCCAGCACCTGCCTCACAAGCACAAGGGCCCGAGTTCAATCCCCAGTACCAAAAAACAAACAAACAAAACAAACAAACAAAAACAAAACAAAATAAAACAAAACCCCAAACAACCAAACATAGCCATACCAAAACAAAACTTCAAAGAGAAACTAATATTCCATTTCTGGCATTCAAAATAGGATTTCAGAACAAAACAATAACTTTTATGCTAGGTTAGAAGTATAGGAAAGGATTTTTCTGAATTACTTTAGAAAGTAATTGCAGTTGGTCCAGAACACAGAATTTCTCCTATGGGAGAGAAGGTAACTCTGTTTGGATTTAGGGTTAGACTAGATCTGGAGCCAAGAATAAGGTGGTTATAAAGCAGGAAGAAGTAGAGGAATCTGCTGCCTCTCCTGGGGCATCATGGGAAGAGGAGGCCATGACCAGGAGTTAGGACAGAAAGTAGATGCGTGCTCTGGTGGCCCTTTGAAAGGCATGCCTGTCAGAGAGGCACACAGGAGAAGGGCCCTTCTGCCTCCTTCACAGAGAGCTCTAGCAGCAAGCCCTGCTGTAGCACAGAAGGTAGGTTGGGGAGGGTAGTCTGACCTGGAACAAAGGGCAGGTCACATGTCAGGGACTCTGTAGTCCCATTTGCAGTCCAGGCAGTCAGCCCTGTTACCCACTGCACTAGGATGGCAGAGGGAGAATGGGTAGAGCTCTGAGGGTGCATCGCTCCAGTAGGTGCTGAGAACAGGGGTCAAAGAAGAAGAGCCCAGACCAGGAGCTGGGCCAGGTGCAGACGTCAGTTGTGGGAGCCAGCTAAACCATCCAGGTTAGTGTCCATCCGAGTAGCCCTCCAAAGCCAGGTGACCCCTTTACTCTATCAGTGTTGTGAGCTGTAGACACAGGCATCTTGTGGAGAACAGGGAAAGAGCCAGCAGAAATAAGAGACCCTGAGCAGAATTCAAAGGGACCAACTATAAATTATTGATTAGGACTAAGGTTGGAACTAGATTAGGCATTCAGTTATAATTCTCCTCTTTACCTAGCAAAGGACAGGAAACACAGTTACAATACAAGGAAAATATTTTCTCTGCACATTTAAGTTGTATGTCAGTAAAAGAAAATCAGCCTTTTCTATTTCAAGTCCAATAATTTCAATTTTTTAATAATTTTTTGTACTCGTGGCTCTAGTGTTTAAACTCTAGGTGGCTGAACATTTATGTCCCTCTGAAATTTTAGAATATGTTCTCTTCTTTCTCCTTTTCATAACATCAGCAGCAACAAAAGAGGCAGGGAAGCTCATTGTTACAGAGGTGAATTGTGTCCTCCAAATCCATGTGTTGAAGCGCTAATCTCCAGAACCTCAGAGACAGACTGCATGAAAAGACAGGGCAGGGCTAGGGATTTAGCTCAATGGTTCCGCTGCCTGCCTTGCAAGCACAAGGACCTGAGATCAATCCCCGGTACCAGAAACAAACAAACAAACAAAACAAAACAAAAAGACAGGGCTTACGGAGAGGCAATTAAGCTAAAATGGGGTGGGTCCTAGTCCAGTCCTCCCAGCATCCTTATATAAAGAGACAGGATCACTGGGGATGCTCATGTGCAGAGGAAGACCACAAGGCCACGCATCCAAAAGGTGGCCAAGGAAGAGGCCTCACAAGAATCCAACCCTGCAATAACTCGATCTTGGACTCCCAGCTCCAGAATTAAGAGAAAACAAAGTTCTGTGGTTTGTGTACCCATTCTAGGGTATTTTGTCAGGGTGGCCCTAGCAAACCCACATCAATTTATCTTTTTTTTGCCTACATGACAGAACCGTGCCAGTGTGTGTTCTCATGCCTACAGGCAGCCCCTCCTGGAGCTCATCATGGGCTCACTTTGTATAGCAGCAAGAGGACATTTTATGGACTCTTTGAAGGACTTCGCTGGACATGCTGTCATCGCTAACATAGATGTATGTCTATGGCTTGGAAGGTGGTGAGTGGCCTGGTGTTATGCAAGGGAACACCCTTTGGAGTCTGGGCAGGAGTCAGGGTGACAGAGGTCCACGAAGATGGCAGCAGACCGGGGGGGTGGCTTCACCTGCTCGAGACCCTTCCTGTGACAGATGCTTCATCCACGCTGAAGGAGAGGCACGGGACTGGTGACACATAATGAGATAGCACAAAAAGCAAAATGTGATCTTGAAACTTCACCACAGCACAAATTGCGTAGGGAAAAAAAAAAAACTTCAGGAAGTTTGTCATTTAGCAGAGATCTCCCAGCTGGGAACGTGACAGAAGCCGTGTGACTTGTCATCCAAAGGAAAGCTGACCTTTTGTGAATTCTTTAAATGAGGAAGGCTTTCCCCAGCTGCAAACTAGCTCCCTGAGATCTGAGAATTATTAATGGGAATTGAGGAATTGTAAGAAGTCAGACTGGGAAAACACACATCAAAAAAGACACCCGACAAAGAGTCCTAGGTTGTTCCATTAAAAAGATATTTTTTTATGTAGATGGATTTGACCCCAGAAACTCTGAGGATGAGCCAGCCTGGAAAGCTTAGCAGCTGCCAGGAGCCTGTGTCTGCAGGAAGGAAGGTTGTCCCTCTGCTTTGTGTCAATGGCACTCAACCCTCTTCCCAGACTGTACCCATGTTAGTGATGTAGGACAGCATGAAACTTTCTTCATGGCGAGAGCACGGCTAGGTGGCTCTCTCCCTTACTTTACGACAAGAAAAAGTTTCACCTTATTCAACCAGAGTCTGGAAAGGGCTTTTTTCCTGAAGGTGGGGATCTGTCTCATCTATTTTGGGAGTAGAATCGCATGGGACAAGGCTGGGATCCTGAACTATTAGCCTATTGTGACCTTATGCCAAATCCCACCTAGTCAGTTGTCAGCAGTCTTCACATCTGTGCTGGGCAATTTTCAGCCCACCTGGGCCCTGCCACCCAGAACTCTGTCCCCTTTTCTAATCCTGTGTTAGAGAAACACTCTGGTTTGCTCCCTGTCCCACAGCCTTGGAACTTAGACAAGAGAGGGGGAGGAAGCCAGCCTTGGGCTGTCAAAGGTCTTTGCTATCTGAGCATTGCAAAAGCAAATGGCCTAATCTCTTACAGAGAGAGGCAGGGCCATCGTGGAGGCCACAAACCTTGTTTGTGAAGGAACAATAGAATGTACAGTCAGAAGATGCCTCTGAGATCATCTGGCCTAAGGTGCTCAAATGAGGAGACTAAGATCCAGAAGATGAAATACCTTGCCCACGGACTCATAGGCAGTAGGATAATTCCAGTTGCTCCAGCTTATTGAGCTCCTAGTACATTACCTAATATTCACCTGTGTCAAATCTTCCCACAACAAGCTTTTCATGTAGCTGCTCCAATGTCTGATTTACAGAGAGGAAATGGAAGCTTAGAGGAGCCAGAGGACTTGTGCGGGGACCCTGAGTTGTGCACAAAGCCCAACAGACTCACCAGCACTCTGCCAAATCAGACTCAGGTCAGAGAGTGTCAGGACACAGGACTTACCATATCTCATACCAGAAGGCAGTTTGCAACTGCTGTTTCGTAAGTGACCGGTGTGCTAGAGGGAAAAGCCACCTGGCTCACCAGGGCAAAAGGATTATACCTCTCGGTTCATCTTTCCACAGGTCTCTCCAAGGAGGATGTAAAATGTTGACAAACAGGTTGAAGTTGGAACCTGTGCCAGCTGCACTGTGCTTGCTTCCTGTTCCCCATACCCCTAGCCCTTGTGGCTGAGGACACAGAAAGGTAAAGAGGATGTTGGCTTTCTCAAGGCATGGTGAGAAATCAGCAGCCACAGGGAGCTCTGGGAGGTGGGAGACAGAGGGGATGGGGTCTCCTCCAACCCCTTCCCTGGCCCTGCTGTTTGATGCCTTTCCTTCCTACACCTCCCAGCTGTCCCTCAAGACCCTACTTCATATTGGAACCTTTGCCCATCCTTCTGTACCTGTCCCATACCTGTGCTTTTCTCTGTCCCTGCTCCCTGCCCATGCAGCTCACAGATGAGCTCATCCTTGTGCTGGGCTGTGGGAAAACCCATGTTATCTTTAAGTTACACATTTGAAATGGAAAGGCAGCACTGCCAAGCTTCCAAGTAGTCTGTTGGGGATACATTTGGTGGCCAAGAAGTCCTTGGAAGAGGACACACAACCCCAGGCTGGTCCCCCAGTTTCTAGGGCTGTGGGGAGCCTAAGGCTCTGCTTGCCCTCCCCACAAGCCCCAGGGGTGAGGTTCCTAGAGCTCTTCCCATGGAAAGTATACGAGGGAAACTTGGGAAAATCGTTTGCATCTGCTTTCCTACAGGAAAACCCACCCCAGCGGGGGACAGGTTAAGTCCCAATTGTACCCTGAGTGACTCTCAGTTGTCTTCCAGACACAAAGCTAAACCAAAACCAAAACCTGCTGTGGCAGAATAATAGTAGACTAGCACTTTTGAGTATGTATTGTGTGTCAAATTGTGTGCATTTATCTCTAACTTTCATAACAACCTGGAGAGATGAATATTATCATCCCATTTTACTGGCAAAGAAACTGAGATTCAGTGACTTGCCCAAATTCTCACACACAGTGAGGCTGAGAGGGCCGCCTGACCCATGGCTCGTGCTTATCTGTGATACTAGGCCATGTGTCCCTGAGCTCACATGTGCCATTGGCCCAGGCTAGAGCTGGCTTATTTGGTTCATGAGAGACTTCCATTGAATTTGCAAGAATTTGTCCAATCCATTATTACATCTGTTATTAAATATCAAATTATATGAACTTAAAGTGAAATAAATTATATCAAAAACAAGGTAATAAATATTTTAAAGTCATCATTATTTTCAATGCTTTTAAGGGTTTTTCCTATCTATTGTGCTCACGTGGTGGAAAAACTGTGCCATGTTGTGACCAGTGACAGTGCCTTGGTAGCCTGAAGTCAGCCCCAAGGACAGCATTTATACCATGGAAATCAGCAAATGCTACAAATCAAGGGCCTTTTCTCTCTGGAGAGCCACTTGTTAAACATTTACTAGCAAACCACTGTTAATTCATTATCTCTGACCTTTAAATCTTGGGGCTAAAAGACCATAGAGGAAGTCCACTTTGGTGTCTTCAGACTTGATTTATACTGAGAAAAATTGTTTTGCCAAATGTCAAGGAGCAGCCTAGTACATGAAATGGAAGAGAAGAGTTGGTTTAACTCTTTAAACTTGGTAGTGAACCTGCACTCGCGCGCGCTCGTGTGTGTGTGTGTGTGTGTGTGTGTGTGTATACGTATGTGCACTCTGAGGATGGAAACCAGTGCCTCACACGTGCACACCCCAGCACGATGTAGCAATAAATAATTGAGGAACATCGTTTCCCTCTTCTCAGTCTCTTCCCGGACACCTTCGTGGTCATCTCTTCTTCTAACTGGCCCTGATCATTCATGTTCCTGAAACTCCATCATTTTCCATCTCCTTTGTCATCATACACATCCTTCCCATCTGATCTTCTTTGGTCCATGTCCTTAGCCATTAGATGTAGGTGAATCCAGTGTTTGTTTCTGGAAGATTCCTCGTAAATCACAATGTCTCTTTTCCCATTTCATATTTGAGTAGGCTGAGAAATGAGATGGTTTCTATATACTAACGAGCAATGAACAACCTGAAGACGAATTAACAATCCTATTTACAATAATAACATCAGAAAGAATAAGATAGGAATAATTTAACTAAGGCAAATAAGACTTATGCACTGAGAACTGTAAAACATGGCTGAAACAAATAAAAGACTTAAATAGAAAAATATTCTATGTTAATACATTGAAAGACTTACTTTTTAAAAGACAGAAATGCTCCTCAAAGTGAGCTGTAGATTCAGTGCAATTTTAATGACAATCTTAATAGACCTTTCTATAGCCACTAAATGTGTGGCTATAATGGACAGGCTGATCCCAAAATTGATATAAGGTAGCGAGGGACTCTGGGTAGCTTAAATAATCTTGAAAGAGAAGAACAAAGTTGGAGAACTCATCCTGATTTCAAAACTTGGCTCAAAGCTACAGTAATCAGGACAGCAGGGCATTGTCATAAAGGTGGACATAAGAAATGAAACAGATCAATGAAATAAAACCAGGAGTCTATTTGCTTTGAGGCATGGGTGCCAAGATGGCTCAATAGTGAAAAATAATCTTCAACAAGTTGTACTGGGACAATAAACTGTCCAGAAGAATGCAGTTGGATCTCTCTATGATTTGAATATGGTTTTCCCCTTCTAAAACACAGGTTGGAGGTTTATCTTTGAGGTGTTAACAGGGTGGGAACTTAATTCTATGATGTTCAGGGGTTGGGCCTCTGGGGTATGATTAGCATCAGATTAGCATCAGATCAGAGCTCCATGACTGAATTCTGACGCTTTATCAGAAGAGAGATTGAGAGCAGAGAACACAGCCATGCAGGCTTCTGTCTCTTGCTGTGTGTTCTTGGATGCCACCTTAGAACTCTGCTAGTAAAATGCCATCACTTGATGCTGCCCCTCAACCTTGGGCCAGAACTGTGAAACAAAATAAACCTCTTTTCTTTATTTTTTACCCAGTCTGTGGTATGTCAGAGCATCAGAAACAGAAAATAGACTAAAATAGATCTCTCACGCCATACAGAAAAATTCATTCCAAATATGGGATTGAGGTGCAAAGCAGTGCCAGAAAACTTTCCTAGAATGTTCAAGGCCTTTAGTTCAGATATCAGAACAGAAAAAAAAAAGTCAAAATGGATCAAAGATCTAAATGTAAAAGCCATGGCGGCAGGGCCCAGGGGGATGCTGGGAAAGGTGGCTTGGCAGCAAAGCACTTGCCTGGCATGCATGAGGCCCTAGGTTCAGTCCCCAGCAGCACAAAAAACAAAAAAAAATAAAAAACAAGAACAACCATAAGTAAAAAGAAGTCTTCATAACCTTAGAACTGATAGTGGATTCTCAGATATGAGAAGAAAAGCATAAAGAAAAACAACAAAACAGATAAATTGGACCTCCTCAAAATTAAATACTGTGGTGTATCAAGGGACATGGTCAAGAATATGAAAAGAACAACTCACAATAGGAGAAAGTCTTTGCAAAGCATTTATCTGACATAGATTTGATATCGAGAAATAAAGAACTTTTATAACTCAACAAAAGGGTTAATTAAAACTAGGCAAAGGAGGCAAATAGATATTTCTCCAAAGAAGTTTAGAAATAGGCAATAAATTCATAAAAGCATTATCATTAAAGGCCAGGGATGTAGAAGGTGCCAGACCTGCCTGGCAAGTGCAAAGTCCTGAGTTTAATACCTGCTACCACCCCAAGACCCCAAAATCAAAAAACAATAACATTACCATTAGTCAGTAAGAAAATACAATTCAAAACCACAGTGAGATACCACTTCATGCCCACTAAGAAAGCTAAAATTAATGAAAAAATGTAAAAGAAAGCAATAGAGGATGGCACAGATACGAACGAATTGGAAATCTTGTGCACATTGGCTGCGATGTAAAATGTAACAACTGCTGGAAAAACAGTTGGATGGTTTCTCAAGTTCAAAGTAGAATTACCAGGTAACCAACCCAATCCATTGCGCTCCTAGGTAAATGTCCCACAGAAACAAGAACGGATCCAACCAGAGACTTGTACCTGAATGTAGAAAACAACATTATTCTTAATATCTAAACTTGGAAACAGTACAAATAGCCATAAACTATTGAGTAGATCAACATACAATGGGATATTACTTAGACAGAGAAATTAAATATTGATAATGCAACCATATTAATTTTAAAAATTTATTTTATTAGTACATTTTAGGTATACAATATAATGGCATTCATCATTGGAAATGTGTAACTTTACATAATCCATCTTGGTTCATTTTCCCCTGCCTTCAACCCCTCCTCACACCCAATTTACAAGGACTTTGTTTCCATTTTTTCATTTTCTCATATTAATTCCATTCCCTTCTTTTCTTTCCCCATACCTTCCACTTCCCCTTCCCCTTTGCCCCTTTCCTTCCTATTTCATAATATCTGTTATGCCTTTTGATCCTTATTTACACTTTCAGTTTTTCACACCAGATAAACTATTTGGTATTTACACATGAGTGTCCTATTTATTTCACTTAAGAGTATGGCCTCAATATGCATCCATTTAGCTATAAATGTCTCTAATTCCTCATTCTTTATGGCAGAGTAGTACTCCATTTTATTTAAAAAAAGACCACACATTTTCTTTATCCAGTCTCCAGTTGATAGGCAATTGGACTGTTTCCAAGGTTTATCTATTAATCGGGCCAGGGATTTAGCTCAGGGGTTCTGCTGCCTGTCTCGAAAGCACAAAGTCCCGAGTTCAATCCCCAGTACCAAAAAAACAAAAACAAAAGAACAAGTGTTAGCTATTGTTTGCTGCTATGAACATGGGTGCACATATATTGCTGTTGTATAATTCTTTTAATTCTTTTGGGAAGATACCCAGTGGAAAAATAGCTCAGCCAAATGGAAACTGTAATCATAGTACTTTGAGGCATCTCCATACTGATTTCCGCAGTGGTTGCACCTGTCTATACTCCCAGGAGCGGTGGAGCAGGGTTCCTCTTTCTCCACAGCCCTGCCAGCATTTGTTATTGGTTGATTTCATAATAGCAGCCATTCTTTCTGGGGTAAGGTGGAATCTCAGCATTGTTTTCATTTGCCTCTCTCAAATGACCATTGATGTTGAACATTTTTTCATATGTTTATTCGCTATTTCTACTTCTTTGTCTG